TGTAGAGATTACAATCATGCTATATAACCATGTCAATAGCTTTTGATAAATGGATGGAAAGAGGTGTATGTCTTGCCTTAAAAGATAATGAACTAAAAAGTTTGTTAAACAACAACAAGAACTAGAGAGAGAGAGAGAAGAGCATAGACAGAGATTAAGAAATATTAAAGAAAGAAAAGAAGAGAAAGGACAGTAGAATCAGAGAGAGAAATAATAAGAGCATAAAAAGAGAAAGGAGAAAAATGAAAGACTGGAAATAGAGAGAAAGGAAAGACTGGAAATAGAGAGAGAAAGAATTAGAGCACAAATTGTGAAATCAGAGAGAGAGAGAGGAAAGACTGGAAACAGAAAAAAATAGCACAAATTGAGATTGCCAAGCTAACCCAACAGAAAGAAGAAGGATCCAAGAATGACAATTGGGTCAGGGTCATCTGACCCAAGCTGTCCACATTTGCTGAACAGAAAGATGACATGGATGCTTACTTAGAGAGATATGAAAGATTCACCCAAAGACAGAACTGGGACAAAAGTAACAGTCTGTCCCAGCCCATTTCTCACAATAAAAGGCCTACAAGTATATGCAGTCATGACATCAGAAGATGCCACAGACTATGATAAAAATGGCTTTGCTGAAACACTATGAACTTACTGAAGAAGGTTTTCATTGAAAGTTCAGAGAAGTCAAACCTGACATTGGAGAAACTGTATTTCAGTTTGTGGCACATATACGGCGATACTTCAGTAGATGGACTGACATGGCCAAGTATGACAATAGTTTTGAGGGACTGGCAGACCTTCTAATACATGAAAAATTCATAAGCACATGTTCAACTGAGATGTCATTGTTCCTAAAGGAGAGAGCACCAAAAGACATGATTCAGATGATCAAGCTGGAAGAACAATATATAGAAGCCCGTCGAGGGGGTGTAACGGGCAAGTCCAAGAATATCCAGTTAAATTCAAAACCAGTGGTGGCTGACCAGAAGTAGAAGTCTACCAAAAGTGACAGGAGGTTAACAGACAAGTGGGATAAGAGATGCTATATTCGTTATTAAATAGGACACATTGCAAAAGAGTGCAAGTCCATCATTAATAAGCAACAGCAATAATCTCAACCTAAAGCAGCTGGAGCTACTTATAATATTAGTGCTGGCAAGAAACAAGAAAAGAGTGACTATCACCATGGATGATACTACCAGAAAAAACATAATCAAGGAAACATGTCAGATTGACCACAAGAAGGAAGTGCCATTTCCATGATTGATCAGTGCAAAACTTACAGTTGCTCAACTTAGCAAATGGATCAACAGTGCCAATAGTGATCGGAGCATTTTACAAATATTGAGAGGTGCAAACAAATGACAATATGCCAATAAGTGAAGGCTATATCAGGGACATATACATAAAATTCTGACAAATACAAGATTATTCATTTCTAGAACAAACAGGACCCCCAGTCACACAGCGGTATCTCTGTGGACTTACAATGCTAGAAAGTGTTTTTCAATACCTATGGTGGGCAGAGCACAGATTCTCATTTTGTAGCTTTATGCTTAATTACAACTAATCAGCACAAAAATCTGCCTTATGGGTGGTGTTTTTCCTAGTAGATATAAAGCTAAATCTTGAGGGCTTTCTAAAGCATCGAGAGCATCATGGTAAAGACAGAAATGTGAGAAGGTTTATTTTATCTAAATATCTTTCTTTAATAACTTTTTATTCTGATCCTTCCTGTACTGTTTTGGTGCATTTGTGTCATTTATGTTTATGCAAATTCTGATATGATATTGTTTTGTTAAATTTCTTTCATCCTATATGCCAACTTTCCATTTTGGTAGGAACCTTGGTTATGTTTACTTTTCTTTATCTACGTTCTTTGGGAAGAAATTTCTCACTTAACATTTTCAAGATAGAAATCTAGCTAATTGTATTATAATATATTGATTTATTGAATATTTTAATTAAGATAACCCAGAAATGTAATTGTTATGCTGGATTTTTACATTAATATTTATATTAATTTCTGCTTTTGATATTTTGAAAACATAGTTACCTCTCTTTGTCAGTTGAAGTGCTCTTCTGATAGGTTTGATTGCTTGATCCTGAGCCTGTGTATATCAATCTTCAGACCTCTGCATATGTATCTAAGAAATATGTTTACCATAACATAGCAAAAACATGTCAATACTGTGAAGTAAGTCTTTTAATGAACTTATGAATTCAATTTTTTAACCTTACTCACTTCAGTTGAATATTATTTCCTTGGCATCATTATGTAGTGCTGTTACATGTCTAATTTACATAGTTCTATGCTAGATTACTTGTCGTACATTTTCAGTCTAGCTGGCAGTTACTACAAACTTCAAATGTTATGGAAATCATAATATTTAATGTGATCCACTGAACATTCCCTGTATCTACTTCTGTTCACGTTCTTAAAGGTGAAGTGGCCATATATTTTATTAACTCTGTGCTGGGGTATCACTGACTTCTTGGTAGGCTCTTTAACATTTCTGGAGCTATTTTCATTACTATTTCTTTTATCATTCTGTTTTTCTATCAAATCCCATTTCTGCTCTTCCATCACACACTAATTATGTTTCTTTTATTTTCATGCATTAGGTTCTATCCCTTCATATCCTATGGCTGGGTCATTCCTCAGTCGCAAAGGATTTGAGGTTTTCCCAACAGATGATCCTTTTGTTTCAAATGGGAGGATTTTGGTATCTAAACGCTGTGTCACTATTGTTCAAAAGACTAAGTATACCAAAATTCTTGGTTTCCATTTGAGAAACCTCCTCTTCTGCATATGGGTCTTGTTTCTTCACCAACAAGAGACAGTTTTTTTTTCTGTTCCAGAGATATGTTGTTGTTGTTTTTTCTCAGACATATGTTATCCAGCAATTGCCTCTGGAAACCACTAAATGACAGGTAGGCACATTTTTTTTTCATCTTTAACAATAGGTTTCTAAACTACAAATTTGGTAGTTTCTTTATTAAAACCAGACCAGTAGAACCTGAGCTTCAAAGGAACAATAGAATGATGAATGTCGTAGTTTCCCTATTCTATCATGGGATATCTACATAATTTTCTGCCTTACTCTTCTAGGTTCTACCAGTTATCATCAGAGTTTCCAGTGGATATTTTCTTTGGTTTCCTTTAATTCCATGTTCTATGAGACAGCAGAGTCAGTTAATTAACTTCTTTTTTTTCAGTTGTCCAGTTTCCAATGAAGTTGTCTTTTAAACTTTATTAGTACCTAGTGACTCTGAAACAGTCCTGGATCTGAGGAACAATTTAAGCTTTTCATCAGTGATTATTTAAAATTTCATTCCAAGATTGTGTCACCTATTCAGAAGTAAAACTACTCAAGAGTAGGGACCAACTGGTGATTAACCCTTCCATAAGTTGAAAAAAGAATTACTTCGTGTTAGTGGAATCCATTTATATCTTAAGACTGATCACACAATTAGAAGATGTAATGTTGAGTAAATGCTACTCACAATAGCAGCTCTTGCTTAGTAGTTAAATAACCCCACATTGATGAGTTGAGAGAATTGCTTTGTTCATCATCTTGATCCAATACTTATATCACTTGCAACATTCAGGATAAACTCTATACCTTCTAATTGGTGAGTACTGGACAAAGAATAGGTAGATATGACAGGCTCTATTTCCAGGTTTATGCTTAGTATCTTTCTGTAATTCTGATTATGAAAAGTTTATGTTGGTGAACACATACAAATAATCAGTACTATCATACTTCTTAGTGAGTTTGGACAATTTTGTACTGCTTTAAGCTGTTTAGGTTCACTATATGTTCTACAAGTATTATTGATAATTTTTCAGAGCATGGTTAAATGGTTTGATCTTTTGGTTTGCTCTTCAAGATGTCTTAGAACATATTTGTGAAAGTTTTCATGTAATCAACATACATATACATATATATCAGATACTTACTGAACACCTAATGGGACTGTGTTCAGTGATTTATTAAGTATTGAACGTTTGTTGAATAAACTGAAGAGATAATTTAAAACCACCTAAATCTCAAGTGGTTCTGAAAGAAACAAAATTATTATATTCCTTGTAAGGTATCCAGAACTCAGGAGTATGAGGTAAAGGGCAGGCATAAATATATTGGTCACAAAATGCATCTGTCTAAAGTCAGTGCAGTATCAATGAGTGCACAATACACATCTTCTTCCTTTTAAGGTAACTGATATTGACCAAGTGCTGCATAAATGTTATATAATTCTTTATCTCAACATACTTTCTATTATTTAATCCATTATATCTATTGCCTATGGCTGCACAGTGCATGCTTCATGGGCTACCTTCTTCATCAGCTAGATGTTTTAAAGTGGATATGAATGTTACACACAGTCATTCATGAGTGTTGTGTGGCATGAATAAATTACACAAAGAACACAACAATTGAGCAATATATTAATGGAAATAAAGATTTTTATCAGGATCGTAAGATTTTGAGATATGTGATTCCTGACTGACCTGTATGGCATTATTTGAAGATACAGTATACCTGATATTTTCATTAATACTAAGAAAGAATGTTTCAACCTTGACCTTTAAATATTCAGCAGATGGTATATTTTCATTGAAAACATAAAGAGTTGAGCTCACTTAATGTTTTGGGAGGAAACACAGTATGATGTAATGTTTTTTAATTCAATTGAAATATTCATAAGCAGGTGAAATTATCTTGAGAAAGTGAAATCAACAAACAGTAGCTTATGTTATTGCCAAATGTAAACTCGGTCTACCCAGTGTTTTTTCATTTATTTTAGACAGTGATACAGTTTTTATAGAAATGATTTGTAATATAAGTTGTGTTTTATTGTTTTGTAATGATGATAGTTTTATTTTTTGTTCTGTAGGATATATGTTTCATGACAAGGAATTATAAAAATAGAATATAAGTATATATGTATGTATGTATGTGATTCTTGTTGTTAGTATAATCTGATCAATGGTCTAGGCCTCCACAAGTAAAACACGTTTTTCTCCAGCTTGTCTATATAGAAGAGGTGGTTCTGACGGAATTATTACCAACGAAGACATACAGGACAAAATGTTCAACTATTCTCTAACTTGGAATGTTCCATTGGATTGTACGTGGATTATAAAAGTATCCAAGGGCTTAAAAGTAAGTTTTTACATAGATATAGTTCAAATCTGTTATGGTAACAACAAACAATAAATATTGTTACGTCTCCGTTTGTTAATTAACTTCCTGTAACTTCGTTCCGACGAAACTTTAGCGACACAAGTCCTTACTTAATAAAACTGGTTTATTATTTCCGAATATAACTTTATGATACACTTGTTTTCAACAATCGCGCTAAAACAAACGCTATATCAACGAACGTTAACTTCAACAATACCTCTCTCTCTGACTGCAGTCCAATCACTCTCTGTCTACACACACATTATTGTCCCGTCACGTTGTCACCCTCTTTTATATACCAGACTACCCTATATCTAGTAAATCCTAGAGCATTCGCCAAGGTAGAGGATAGTTCTAGAAAC